GCCAGGCTTGGGACTCCTTTTGAAAAGGTATAGGGCATGCCAAAGCCAACTGCTGCTTGTTTGGGGTTTGTGTACCTTTTAGAGATTTTAGGAATGTCCATAGTGCTGGCCGCTTATGAGGAACAGCCAATGAAAGAGGTTCAGGCCTGTGTGTGAGTTGGATGGGGCAGGTTCTCAGAGAATCACCATGGTAAGGTGAACAGTGTTAGCCAGTTCCATGGAGACTCAGATTTGGAGCCTGCCTCTGCCTGCAGGCTGGGTGGGGAAGGGCTCAACCAAGGAGCAATAGCTTCTTCCAGCCCTTCTGCCCAGCTAGAGCAGCCCCTCCAGCCCTCATCCTGAAGCCAGAAAGTTCAGTTCTTATAGGTCCCTGCCCTTTTCTAGCTGCTTCCCCTGCACTGGAGCTCAGAAAGAGTGAGTCAGCGAGTAAGTCCATGCACAGACCCTATAAGAGGATCTCCTGGCACTCCAGCAGCCCTCTGTCCCACTCAGACAGAATCTCTGCAGATTTTTACAGCCAGCTATTTTGGTGACTTCTCTTCCCAGCACTGGTAGATTGGGGTAGGGAGCCTGGCGTTGGCCTGGGACCTCTGCTGCCAAGATATTCCTCCTAATTCTCAACCACCACACGAGGATGTGTGAGACCAGAGTGTTTTGCATTTCCGCCTCTCCTACCAGTATCAATGTGGTTTTTTTATATTCCTAGTTAGCATTTCTCTTGTAGTTCTCAAGGGTGGTGGTTCTACAATTTAGTTGTAATTTTGACGTGGTCATGGGAGGAGGCGAGTACAGTGTTTCCCTACTCTGCCATTTAGACCAGAAGTCATATCTATCTTTTCCCTATTGCATATATTTGATAGCATAAACTTCTCTCTGGGCATTCTTTTTGCTACATCCTGTTACCTTTGGTAAGTTGAATATTTATTTCATTTGTTTTCTTGAATTCTTTGAATCCAGATATTATTTGGAAGTGTGTTATTGAATTTCCACATATTTGGAAGTTTTCTAACTATCTATTATTGACTTCTAGATTAATGCCCATGTAATATGAGAGCATATTTTTGTACGATTTCTGCTCTTTCAAATTTGTTATGGAATCCTCAACAAAATATTAGCAAACCAAATACATTAAAATATATTATATACCATGATCAAGTTGGATCTATTCCTGGGATGCAAGATTGGTTTGATATCTACAAATCAATTAATGTGATACACCACATTAACAAACGGAAAGATAAAAACCATATGATCATATCAATAGATGAAGAAAAAGCGTTTGACAAAATCCAGCATCATTTATGATAAAAACTCTCAGCAAAGTGAGAAAAAAGGGAACATACCTCAACATAATAAAGGCCATATATGACAAACCTACAACTATCATCATCCTCAATGGGGAAAAGCTAAAAGCATTTTCCTTAAGATCAGGAAAAAGACAAAGATGCCCACTTTCACCACTCTTCTTCAACATTGTATTAGAAGTCTTAGCCACAGAAATAAGAGAAGAAAGAGAAATAAAAGGCATCCAAATATATAGAGAACCCTAAAGATTCCACCAAAAAAAACTGTTAGAACCAATCAATGAATTCAGTAAAGTAGCAGGTTACAAAATAAATATTCAGAAGTCAGTGGCATTGCATTTCCCCAATGATGACCTTTCACAAAGAGAAATAAGGAAAACAATTCCATTTACAGTTGTGTCAAAAACTACAAAATACCTGGGAATCAAATTAACCAAGAAGATAGAAGACCTGTTTTCAGAAAATTATAAGTCATTGAAAAAAGAAATTGAAGAAGATAGAAATAGATGGAAGCATATACCGTGTTCATGGGTAAGAAGAATTAACATCATTAAAGTGGCCATACTACCCAAAGCAATCTATAGATTCAATGCAATCCCTATCAAAATACCAATGGCATTTTTCAGAGAGCTAGAACAAATAATCCTAAAATTTATATGGAACTATACAAGACCCCAAATAGCCATGGCAATCTTGAGAAAGAAGAACAGAGTTGAAGGTATCACACTGCCTGATATTAAACTATACTACAAGGCTACAGTAATCAAAGCAGCATAGTACTGGCATAAAAACAGATACATTGACAATGGAACAGAATAGAGAGCCCAGAAATAAATCCACACCTATACGCTCACTTAATATATGACAAAGGAGGTAAGAATATACAAT